CCAGCAGAACCAGCGGCAATCGCAGCCGTCCGATAACGATCAGACGATTGGAGAGCTTCGTGGAGCGGTGGACTCTAACCTAGCTTCATTGTGCGATCACATTCAGATCGAGGGATTCAATAATGGGGCTTTCTCTGATGTTGTGGTCGAGGCCATGGGGTCCACTTACCATCTTCATCGCCTAATTCTCTCTCGTAGTTCCTACTTTAGGTGCGATTGGAGTTCTTTGATTTCTTGAATTTTGGTGGCAAATTTGGATGCTTTTCAGGGATTTATTGCTAATTAATGTGGATTATAGGGTTGAACTTCGTAATTGCGGAATTGGTTTCATTAGGGACTCGAATCTTTGGAAAATTATGACATTCCTTGTTTTTAGAACTTCGAGCGAAGGATGTTGATTTCTATCCACGTGGTTTATTGAATCCCATTTCTATAACTTTAGCATCACTTTAGATGCACCTAGTTTTATTGTATCCCATTTCTAGATTATTATTCTAATTGTATTTTTGTAGAAATTTGATTCTTAGATTTGTGCTGTCGATGATAGATTGTGGCTGTTGCTCTTCTAATATAAGAGCAGCTTGACATATGCAGCACTAAGTTGGATTTGCTTCATTCCTTCATCTTGTTAGCATATGTGCGGCTGTGCTAACAACTTTTAGTTCTTATAAGCTTGTATCCAGTCAATCTAGATTTTTAACACAGATGCTTTACTGTTACAAAGAGGCGTAGTACTCCTGACTCATGCCGGTAACTAATAGGAGACCTTCTCAACTTCTGTAATTGACTGCACAGTCATCAATGTAGGTTTATACGAAGGAGTAATTTCTTCCCAAATTGCAGGACATTCAAGAATCCTTAATCTTTGGGGTATGTGCTTCATTTAGCCATTTGGCTTTTTGATGTCTCAAATATGATTGCAATTACTATAGGGATTCAATCTTTCATTTTTGGTAAAACATCGATCTTTATTTATTAATATGACAATAAAAAGCTTGTCATATCATTTCTCATATTTTCTAGAAAGTCCTTTAATTGTACCAATCTCTGAAGTGTTTACCTTATCCCCATTAGTCCCTCTACTTCATTCTCAGATAATATTCTATCTTTTCATTTGGCATTAGATAAATAGGAGAATTGGAAAATTTTGATTGTTAAGAGGTTTTGACAGAAATTCCTGCATGAGTTTGCTTGCATGAGTGTGCACAAACACATGTGCTCTCCTTCCTTTCTCAATCCGTTTGTCCCTAGACCTTGCATTTTTGGAGTAACGTAGGTTGTAAAGCAATTCGAATGTGCTAGCATATGAGCACGTAGCCCATTCATTCATAAGCAAGCTCCATGCTATAACCTTTCAATTATTAGGTTCATAGAGATCTGTCCAGAATTTTGATGAATACTATTAAATTTGAAGTTCAGTCCAAGTTAGCCCATGATAAATACTATTAAATTTGAAGTTCAGTCCAAGTTAGCCCATGATACTAACCCTGTTAGAAAAGCCTTTGAAGTAGTTGCTTCTATAAATGAACAGTAAAACAGAGTTGTCAAATTGAAGCAGACACAAGATAGCAACCTCTACAACCCTTTCACGTATCTTTTCATTAATGTTTAAGCAAGGTTAGGCAAATTATATTATGTCACCATTTGTAGACTCAGTGTTTCTTCTCTTGCTGGTGGTCAAAAGTGGTACTCCCACTTTAAGATAATTGATATAAAAGGATCAATATGCAATGCATTTGTTTTGTTTGAAAATTATAACCATGAATTGAACTGCCTCTTGACCGAATCTGTAACCTTCATTAGCAATTATCCATACTATCTCGAGTTGTTTCTTATGAAGTATAACATAGTGAGTTTTTACATGAAAAACACCTTTATTTTACCAAAATTAATGGAAACTATCTGATAAATTTTTTGATAGAAACCATCTGTGAATGGATGTATTGTTGCAATGTCACATATACTGATGATTTCTGCTTAGATTTTACCCACTTTTTGAATAATACCCTCACAAACCTCACGTGCTAATCACGTTTACCCCTCTTAACCCCATCATTAACTAGGGCACCTAATTGATGCATGTGATTTTCATGTGCTTCCCTCTTCCCTCTTTTTTCTTTCACTCAATTATAATGGCGCCTTAGATCTAGAGAGTGAAGAAGAAACTGAGATGAGAAAACTTGCTGCAAAATGAAAGTAACCCTTTTGTATTTGTTAAATCTCTTTTAAATAGCTGAGAAATGTTTGGGTTCTTAATGACATGTGAATTTTCTGCTGCTGCTTCTTCTTCTCATTGCATGGAAATGGAGATGAAGTGTAACTGCAATTTGAGGGCTTCAATCCTAACGCCAGGTAGAAGCTAATCTAGGTAGAAGAATCTTTAGTTGCCACTTCTCAAATACTCCAATTGGAATAAAAAAGATGTGATTTTTTCAAATGGTACAATAGAAATAGCTGGGAGGTCAAAGAAAATGTTGAACAAGCTTATGACTGAGAAGAAGAAACTGAAGCATGAGCTTGAAGAAATAAGTAAGCAAATTGAGGACATCTACAAACATCTCAAGCAACATCAACTGAACTAGTGAGGAGTGTGTTCAACTTACTAAGGGAGTTTGATAGGGATAATGTTTTCATTTCTTGTGTAGAATTTTGGACACTTTTGTGAACTTAATTTTCTTGCTCATTTCTTCAAGCTTAGATTTCGTTTTCCTCTTCTCAAACATAACCTTGTTCAAACTTTTCTTTAGCCTTCGAGCTATCTCTACCATACTATTTGAGAAACAAAATCGAATCTTTTGGCCCGATTGAGTATTTGAGAAGTGGTAGCTAAAGAACATTTTACCTGGAGCTTCTGTTTTTTATATTAGGATTGAAGCCCACATATTACAGTTGCACTTCGCCTCTATTTTCCAGCAATGAGAAGAACCAGCAGCAGCAGAAAATTCACATGCCATTGAGAACCCAAACATCTCTTGGCTAATTGAAAGAGATTTAACAAATACAAAATGACTAATTTGATTTTGCAGCAAATTTCTTCCATCAATTGCTTCTTTATTGTCTAGATAGGGCACCACTGTAATATAGCGAAAGAAAAAGAGATAAGAGGGAAGCACATGAAAATCATGTGAATTAGTTAGGTATCCTAGTTAATATTGGGATTAAGAGGGGTACATGTGATTAGCACATTAGGTTTGTAATGGTATTATTGGAAGAGTGAGTAAAATATAAGCAGAAATCACCAATATGTGTGACATTACTATAATACACCCGTTTAAAGGTGGCTTCTATTGAGAAAAAAAGTTATAAGGTGGTTTTCATCAATTTTGATGAAATTAAAGGTGGTTTCCAGGTAAAAACCTGACTTATTTGCATTAGTTTAACAAAAAATATATAACAGGAACATGCTTCATGGTCCTTGGAAGGAGGCTGGAGCGCCAACTGTGGTCTTGCATATAGATGATACCAATGTCAACTCGGAGTCAATTGCAGCAGCTTTAGCGTACCTTTATGGTCACCATCCTAAACTTAATGACGATAATGCCTTTCGTGTCCTTGCTGCAGCATCCTTTCTTGACCTTCAGGTTTATTTTCTCCCGAATAAGAAGTACTTTGAATCGTTTTCGCTATTCTTATTGCTTTGTTTGTTAATCTCAATTGTTGTGGATTAACTGCAGGATCTATGTGCAATCTGCACAGATTTCATTATTTCTGAACTGTGGACCTCAAACTTCTTAGCCTATCAGGTACAGTGAAGTTGCTTGGTATCATACAGTAGCTTTGTTAGCATATGAAAGACCATTATGTTTTAACATATTAATCTTCTCTTGTTTCTGACTAGGTATTTGCAGAGGGCCAAGACTATGGAATACATGGAGAACGGGTCAGAAATGCTTGCTGGGGCTACCTTTGTCAAAGTGGCACAACTGAATTAAGGGAGGTAACAAGCTTTATCATGTAACTTTTATTTTGAGTCCACTGTTCTATTTTCATTCTACTTGGCATTCTGGCAATGATTTGTTTTTATGCTCTTTTTCACCTATATGTCATTGCTTTCTTTAATCTGAAACACTTTCTGGTTTTGTTTTATTCTATTTGGGTTCTTTCTCTTAACGTGAAGCAGAATGATGCAGGCTAGGTTTTGTTTTATTCTCTTCGGGTTCTTTATCTTAACATTTGTTTTTTTTTTTTTTCACTTTCAGGTTTTGTTTTATTCTATTGGGGTTCTTTTTCTTAATGTTCGTGTTCTCTTGATGTGAATTTTTTTTAATGGTTGATCAGAAAACGCAAATTCAGATCTAGAGATGACAAAGTCTGCAGTCTTCACATTTGAGCAACATAGTGTTTAGATTATGCGTATTTGATAGATTTTTTGGGCCAAACAGAGAGAAATTAGGTTATGCATTTTTCCTGGTTTGTATCCTTGATCTCTGGTCAAAGAGTAGATGAGCTTTGATGCTAAGGTTCTGTCATGACTGCAAATTCCAGTAACAAGGATCAAAATATGGGGGAGTTTTCCTTATTCACTTGGGAATCTAAGGAAGACTTTCGCAAGATTATTAAGGGGTGTTTATTGGTTCAAGATTGTTGGATTGGGCTAGGACACTTGTCCAACAATCCTACTTTTTGGAACTTGGACAATTGTTCTAGAACCATTGTCTGGACTTTATGATCCTAGTCCAAGCCTCTGTCCTAGATGACCTATAACATTCAAAGTTTAAATAAGAATCCTAATCCCAAATCAATAGCAGCCCAATTTAAATCAGAATTCAGCCCAAAGCAAATGACACTCCAGACTGAAATTGTAGAATAAGTCCTAATCCTACCTCACGATCCTGAATGAATACCACATAAGTTATGGTGGTTACTTCATATAAGAGGACCCGGACTTTGAAATTTTGAATGGTTAGTCTTTCTGGAGAGAGGGGTGTAGTTCCGGATCTTTCTTTTTATTTATTACAGAGAATATCCGAGGCACGCCCCACTCATGGATGTAGGCAATTTGTCCAACACATGTGAATTGTGTTTGGTATTCTTCTTTCTTTTGTTTCTTTTCGCTGTTTTCTTGGTGTTCTTTGTTTTTAATATAGTGGTTAGTTCATATAAGAGGACCTGGACTTTTGGAATTTCGAATGGTTAGTCTTTCTGGAGAGAGGGGCGTCAATGCGGATCTTTCTTTTTATTTATACAGCGCATCTCCGAGGCGTGCCCTACTCATGGATGTAGGCAATTGTTTAACAAATGGGAATTGTGTTTGGTATTCTTCCTTCCTTTTGCTTCTTTTCGCTGTTTTCTTGGTGTTCTTTGATCTTAATATGCCATAAGAGATCTATATTGTGGATGCCTGCCAAGTCTTCACAGCTGAGAGCCTTATCACATGCATGGTTTTACCTTGTTTTACAAGGTAACTGGTGGAAGCAGTTGTCATTACTGTTGCAATAATTGGGAACTATTATGTAAAATTTGTTCATTACACCATGATGGTTTGTTCTTTAATTGAGGTCGCTAGATTTAGAGCCATGCTACATATGTTGCCTATTTTATTGGAAATAATTAGTACATATGCTTTGATGATGGTTATAACAGCAAGATGCAACTTTTTTTATGAAAACTCCCATCCTCAATACTTTCCTAGTTATATTTAAATGATGTGTGCTTAACTATAATTGTTCATTAGGTGCTGCCGAAACTTTCATCTCAAACTTTGCATGCTCTGCTCACTTCTGATGAACTCTGGGTACTTAACGAGGAGAAACGGTATGCAACATACAATTGATATGCAATTCATTGCTCAAGATTAACTGGTGTAATTCTTTGAAGTTGCTAAACAATGGCCTTGCTGATTCTTTGAAGGTTTGAACTGGCTTTGTACACACTACTTGCAAAATGTTCAACTTCTGAGTCAAATCATGCTGAACGTGAAAGCTCTAGTTCTAAAATGGGAATGACCACTGCAGAGTCATGTATACCAAAAGAGAAGAACTTGACTGATGACCGGGGTAAGCATCTGATGGAGTCAGAACTACAACGATTGGGCATACAATACAATGTGGAAGGACATAAAACAGCTCATAATATTCTAATTGAGCTTGCAGATTGTGTGGTAGACTTCCATGCTGATGAGCCTTATTCTAAGTCGGTATCCTCTCGACAGCCAACTTACTCTCAGCCGGTGCTGGATTCAAGATATTCCTCCAAGACAGAGCAACCTGCAATAGATTCATATGCATCTAGATCATCTTGCTCTTTCATTGATATGCGTAACAGTATTGACAGAATGGGGGGAAATGAAGGTGCTATGGAAGGACCGTCGGGAGAGAGCAACTGTTACCAACTTAATAATAATAGCTGGTTTCCCAGGGATCAGTCAAGTGACTGCTCCTCCTCTAGTGGGGCAATTTCTACTGATTGGGGAAGATGCAGTGTGCCTCCTCTTTGGGGAGGTAGAATCGTAGGCAAGAGACAGGTCAAAAGTGCCAAGGGATATTGGGGCATACAAGGTGAAGAATACGACTCATTTATCAATGTCTTTGAAGGTGGTTCCCTTCTTTACTGTAACATGTCTTTCGAAGCACTGTTGAATGTTCGAAAGCAACTGGAAGAATTGGGCTTTCCATGCAAAGCTGTGAATGATGGCCTCTGGCTACAGGTCAGGAATCATCTTTCGTATAATGGCTTTGTACAGTATAAATTGATCCTTCTGCTTTATAAACACATTTATAATAATGGTTATGCCTTAGAATATATATCAGCTAACTGAATTTTGATGCAGATGCTTCTGTGTCAAAGAGTGCAAGCAGTGGCAGCTGAGACCTGCAAAAGTTGCTGCCTCACAACATGTGCCTGTAGACAGTCTTATGGGTATTCTGCTCAAGGGGGTGGGCCCATAGGTTGTTACAGGCAAGAGCATGACAGGAACATCACTGGCAATATGGGGAATGTCTACTTAGCTGATCCTCAGGGCGAAGGAAATGGTTTATTTGGACCTGTACGGGTTCATGTAAGGGGGCCTATCGATGGGCTTGCTGGTATTGGCCGAGGAAACACACATGTGTCTGGTGCTGCTTGGCCTCCAACACGGTATGTTTTCTCTCGTGTACCTCTTGGACTTGGCAACCGAAATTGCCAGCAATCACTTGCTAATGATGAACCAGAAGCCAGAGTTGATCTTAATGGTGACCTATCAGGAGATGGATTGACAGCTTTAGTTAATCTTAGCCAAGGGAACAGTGTTCAAGTTAACACAGAGCAAACTGACAGAGTATATGAACAAGATACACACGGTCGGTTTGCTGGGGTTGCATCCATTTCAAATGCTAGTGGGATCCCTGTGCAAATGTTAGAAACACAGGACCACGCCCTTGGATTAGAGTGGGAAGGTTCCGACAGTTCGTCTATATCACTGGATTTGAAAACTCCACTTCGGCATTTTCCTCCGTTTCGTTTTGGGTATGATAGCCATGACTTTCTTTTTCTCTTGCTGATGTTGTACAACGTATGTTGCATTTGGCGGTGATTGATTTACCTCAGGTTTTCCATGATTTCTGATTGCATGACAAAAAATGTAAGAATCCTGCATATGTCACATTGATATTTAGCAATGGTTTTATGCTACTTAGTATTGGCTGAATGGCTATTTACACATAATAATACCCATTTCTTGTGCATTTTAAGCGTCCCAATTATCATCATTTACGTTAGTTTAAATTTTTACTGTTACTAGCCATTTCTTGTACATTCAGTTTCCATGTTTTTCGATCTTGTAGGCTCAAATTTAGGCTTGTTTGGCAACTCATCCACTAACTTGGATAAGAAAACAGACTTGGATAGCGGCTTAAAATGTGTTTGGCAAAAACCTGTACAAGATTGGACTAGTTTCTGTTAAGTTCAAAAAAGAAGCCCTTATCTAGGTTATTTTTGGACCACCTCCATTTTGGTTCAATCCTAATCCAATTTAAGCGTGAAGTTGCCAAACACACCCTTATTATTTGTTTGAATACATGAACTATATGCTGCCAGCTTAAACTGCATACATATCAGGTTTTTCTTTACAAATTCTCATTGGTAAAATGATATCATATAACACTTTTAGAAACTGTAATGATTTTAACTTTTATTTCTGTTCTATTGCATCCATGGAACTACTTGACAAAATTTTCCATAGTCTTCAAAGCTTAATCTATAAGTTACTGTATCCATATTTGGCTGTTCCTCATGCTGCTCAAACAGTGTTGACTATATAGTTCACTAAAGTGCTGCTTCCATATACTCCTATTGCCTAGTGCTGTTCAAAAATATGTCATGAAGTTGATGATTGGGAGCAAACTATTGTTAGAGTTGGTGCTGAATCTGTTCTCAGTTGCTGGTTTAATTGCAGCGTATAGTAAAAAAAACAAGGTTAATGATGTTTATTTTCTTTGCTTACGGTGATAAATAACAAGGTTAATGATGGCAAGTTGTACATTGTCGATAAAAATACACCATTGATCATGTTGATGATGACAAGCTGTACATTGTCGACACTTGTTTGTTTATCTTATGGTCATGCTGGAGCTTTATCAACCGTCCATGATGATGGTAACCTTTATTGGTGTGCTAATTACTGATTTCATCCTAAATTTTTCAACTAATTATATTTGTTACTATGTGCTAGCACATTGAGCTTGAGTATTCCGCTCAAAATTTTCAGTTTTCCTTTTTGTTAATGGAAAATCCATTACTTGAAATCTCAGGGTAGAATTCGAAGATGTGCACCGGCTTAATGACGGCCAAGTGAAGCATTCCCCTGAAGTATTTTATGCCGGATCTTTGTGGAAGGTAAATATCAGTGTTCTTCATTAGATTTATTCTTTAGCGGATAACAATTGTAAAGTTTTTGTTCTCTCACAGGTAAGCGTTCAAGCTTTTAATGATGAGGACCCTCAAGGACGTCGTACGCTTGGTAAATTATTGTTCGTTAAACTCATTGAAAACTGAAACATACTTGATCTTTATATCAGAAGCGAAAGTCAATGAAAACTAACCATTTTTATTTATTTTGTTCAGGTTTATTTCTCCATAGGCGCAAAGCAGAGATGACAGATTCATCGAGAAAGGTTAGTACTGCTGTGTTAAAAATAAAAGTCATGTATATGATAATTTTACGCTCAGACATTTTTTCTCTCCCTCAGATTCACATGTATGTCGATACTCGGGAGAAAGTGACAGCTCGCTATCAGGTAAAATGCAGTTTAAGCTTAAAAAAAAAAAGGATTTCGCTTTTTTGAATATTCGATAATATTTTGAGATTAGTCCTAGAATCATTGAAATTGCTATTAGGTTCCCCAATTCTTATTGGCTATCTTTAACTTGGCCCTCAAATCATTGAAATTGCTATTAGGCACCCAATTTTTTAAAAGTGTTTTCCAATTAATCCCTTCAATCAAGAACATCAATAGCAACATATAAGAATTGGGGGTTATTTCAATTATTTGAGAGACTAACTTCAGAATAAAGGACTAACATAGAAAAAGCCCAAAAAAATTTGTTTTCGTTCTCTGTTAAGATATTTAGAAGAAAAACTAATCAAAACATGTTTTCTCTTTTCCTTTATACAGTTGATTTGCCCATCAAAGAGGGAAGTTATGGTGTTTGGGAGTTTTAAGCAGGCGGGGACACAGTTGCCTAAAGCTCCAAAAGGATGGGGTTGGCGCACTGCATTGTTGTTTGATGAGCTTGGAGATCTCCTCCAAGGTGGAACTCTGAGGATCGCAGCTGTTGTCCAGCTTGTTTAAAGCTAATTATAAATTTTACTTTATGTGCATAATTACGAGGATACACCGGTGAAAATATAAAAATAAGGGTGGTTGTTTTGTTTGTACCGGGCATAAATACCAAAATTTGAAGGTAATGACTGCTAAGTTGCTTGGCCTGCTAAGATGCGTCTGTTTAATTGGTTTTTTGGGGTTAATTGCAAATAGGGCCCTGTAGAATTTTTGTTTTAGATTAATTCCTCTAATTCTATTTGTGTAGATAGAGCTCTTAGAAGGCTTAACTGCCGGAAAAGAAATTTCTCTTCCTCCACTGAAACTGAAAGGGTCTTTCTGCAGAAATAAAATTAGAGGGGCGATAAACTTCCCAGCGGCGGTATTTGTGGGGGGTCGGTCCACAATTAGCCTTCGTATTTCTGGAGTTGCATATTAAACACTTGGTGGCTTTGATACCATACAGGGTTGGATTTTACAAGGATCCCCGCATATCATAAGGTTTACGAGATGCTAATCAGATAGTAGCCGTATCGGAATTGAATAGTGTAGCATATTTGTCTCGGTTCAACTGAGAATGCTAGGTGACCTCGAACAGGGCAAGAAATTAAACCACGCAACAGAATGCAAAATGATAATGACAGCGAAAGCTGGAAACCACGCAGCTCAACCACAAATTCACGTACCATTCCCTCCGCATAGCTAACAGAATTTAAGTGCGACTTTCAATATAAAATGCTGCCAAAAGCAAGTAGAGGGTCTATGAGTGCGTAGTAGGAGAACCTATAGGGTATTTAAGTGCGACTTTTAAAAACTTCAGGATATATAAAAGGATTTGGATCCTCTCCACTACAAAAAAAGTAGTGGAGAGACCACTACTTTTAATCTCAAACGTTAATTATTTAGTAGGCGATTATGATACAATCTAAATCTAACACTTATTCCTAATTTGCACTAAAAGAAAAAATCATAACCATCAACTAGATAATCAATGGTTGTGATTATATAGTGGTCCCTCCACTATTTTTTTTGTAGTGGAGAGGATCCGAATCCTATATAAAATGCTGCCAAAAGCAAGTAGAGGGTCTAGATTGCGAAGTAGGAGCAAGTACTACTAACATTTTCATCACTTAATAAATCAAGGCTCAGCACAAAAGAAAATTTCAGAACAATCTAACACTGCAAGTTTCATCTTTGCACTCTTCATGTAGCTACATAAGAAAGGAAAATTGAGAAAGGGAATTTGGGAGAGAGCCAGTTCACGTCGAAAGAAACCAACAAATATAAATCGTAAAAATACAGATAAATAGTCAGAAACATTCTAAGCAATCAAAAGTAACCAACAATCAGTTCATGTCAGTTCATGTCAAGGCCACAGTCCATTTCTGCAATTAATACACCGAGTCATATATCGATCTATTAACAAGCGATAACAAATATGCGATCGACTGGGACAATATAACCACAAATAATTCTCCTGTGGCAATGATAATGATGTTGGCATGTACATACAGGGAGTGCCAGTTTACAGATGATAAAAGTACAAAACAAACTAGAATAAATTAAAGTAACTTAATGCAACCGGTCTGAATATTCCCACATAAGTTAAATTTGATATAAAGATTGACCAAATGACTCAACATGAATATGATTTCATATATACCGAGCAACTTCAAAAGGCACCATCATCATCTACATCCGCCACCAATCCTCCCAAGCTTTGCTGGGTTGAAATAAAGAAAGAGAGAGCTGTACACTCATAAAAATGTTTATGCTTACATGAAATAGCTGAGTGCTTTCTTCTTCCTTGATCCACCTTCACCATAGAGATCATTCCACTGCAGGAGCTCATTCATATTTGTCGATTCTGATGATACACTTGCGCAAACCTATAAAAAGCCCATACGAAACAACATACATATATCAGTAGGTTCTTTCTAAACACACTTGTACATTAAACTAGTTTGAATCTGATAGCTGTCTTTGAACTTAAAAGGTCATTGTTTGAGTCGTACATCTACCATTATTTCCCCTAAGTTTGTGAAATAAGGTTCCCCATGCTAATTAATTTGAATTTCATGCTTCATCACTTTTATAAGCATTCTACTATTAAAGCCAAATATAAGACAAGCAAATCAGTCAAAAATTTCTGTAAAGATAGTTAGCCAACCCGATGCAAACATAAACATTTCATTTTACCAGTTTAAAGGACACCTATATAGTCCCACAATTTGCAAGGAGTAAGTAGGCCTTTAAGTTGGACTAGAACCCATACAAACACACAAAAGATAATAAAGTAAAAAAGTGAAGAAGAAGAAACCAAGAATGAAGAGCAACACATAGCTCACAGGAAAGTAAATAAGCAAATAAGTGAAAGGAGGAAAAGTACAATTTACATATCTATTTTTTTACTCCTGAAGATGAATACATGATAAGATATTTCATTGCAATAAAATTGCCTTCTCAGAATGACATTATGCGAGTTACCATGCTCTTGCATAATATCCTCAAACAAAGAATTAATTGTTATCCAGGCAGATAAAAGCACAGAAAATAAGCAATTGCATTATGTACCAACAGAAACAGCAATGATAAAAATATATTAAACAGCGTAGAAAACATGCACAGCTTGAACAGAGCATAATATCCTCAAACAAAGAATTAATTGTTATCCAGGCAGATAAAGGCACAGAAAATAAGCAATTGCATTATGTACCAACAGAAACAGCAATGATGAAAATTATGTACCAACAGAAACAGCAATGATGAAAATATATCAAACAGCGTAGAAAACATGCACAGCTTGAACAGAGCAAAATTAAGGAACTAAATAATATCATGTGTGTACTACTTCATGAACTGGTTTTCTAACATCCAGAGCTAAATATTGTTAAATCTAAGTTTTCATCTACAGGATAAAGTTCACTTGGATATAAGTCCATTTCATGGCATCTCTAACAGGATATACAATAATTGATTTTCTCCACTGAGGACAGACGAATACCATTTCTACCGTCCCTTATAGAAAATATGAACTATTTTTACATAAACCGGTAAATATGAACTATTTTTACATAAACCGGTACCTGTTCGTGAGCATATTTGAAGTCGTCGATGTTAAGAGGACGGATGTCATCACTACAACGCAATGGAGGTAGCGGTCTATCTTCTGCTAGTGCCAAGCTCCTCTCCTATTGATGACCTACGTGATATAGAATGTTGGACAGAAACTTCAAAGTCAGGAAGCTGAACTATTGGTACTGATCTCAGTAGCCCAAAAGATTCTGATGCCAACTGCGTTTGGATTTGGGAATATGTTTAGACCATCAATTGAATCAACTTGCCATTAGAGACCATATATTTTGATCTCATTTGATGCATGTGAAATTCATTTAAAAAAGACTACCATTTAGATGTGTGCTTTATAGTATCTAAAAGCAAAATTCTTATGATTTGATTTTTTTTTAAACCAATTGATGACCTACGTGATATAGAATGTTGGACAGAAACTTCAAAGTCAAGAAGCTGAACTATTGGTACTGATCTCAGTAGCCCAAAAGATTCTGATGCCAACTGCGTTTGGATTTGGGAATATGTTTAGACCATCAATTGAATCAACTTGCCATTAGAGACCATATATTTTGATCTCATTTGATGCATGTGAAATTCATTTAAAAAAGACTACCATTTAGATGTGTGCTTTATAGTATCTAAAAGCAAAATTCTTATGATTTGATTTTTTTTTTAAACCAATTGATGACCTACGTGATATAGAATGTGTGATCTCATTTGATGCGTGTGAAATAAATAAATGAATAAGCATATGATTTTTTTGATCGTGGACATTTAAATGATAACCATGTTTCACGCTTCTATTAGAGTTACAAATTACATGCTTTCTGGATGACAGGATTGAAACTTAAATTATGTTGATAGGATACATTCAAACTCTCCTCTAGCTATATAATCACTGCGGATAGATTTATTTTTTCCCCCACTTTTTGTAAATCAGAACTAGCAAATGAGAAAGAAAATTTCAGTAATTTAAACAAAAAAAAAATCCAAGTACTAAATTGTACCTTCTTTTCCTTTTCCAAAATCTCTCTAATGGGACAGTGTGCCGCAGTAACACATAGATTCTAAAGCAAAAGGTTAGAAAAATATGTAAGCTGTCTTAAGTAACACACTAAACAATTACACTCTAACTGCGAGAGAATAAGACTAGACTAACCTTTAAGTCACTTCCTGAGTATCCATCCGTCATATTTGCAATTGCTTCCAGACTGACATCAGGAGGCAAGTCTTCTTTAGCAAGAATCACCTTAAGAATCTTTTCTCTATTCGATGAATCTGGCAAGTTAACCATTAACCTAAAAAGAACATGCACATCAGAATCATGAAAAATACATTTACTGATCAAAGCAACATGTTATGCGTGTTTTAAAAGGGTAATTTCACAAAACCCGCTTATGTTTGGCCAGATAAACCCCATGTGTCAGAACCCCAATCACCAAACTAACACCAATAGATCTAACTGTACATGTTACGTGCATGCAAATGACCAAAATACTCCTGACAAAAAAACCCTTTCATGTCCTTTTTAATAATTTTAAAGGTAATTTTCGCAAAACCCTCTGTAAGTTTGATCATTTATTAATGATAATTTAATTAGTGACCAACGATTAGTTTTACTTTAATAATTAAAGTGTTATTTGGAAAGGGTACTTTGATTTTTATACCAGTTAATTTAACACCATTAGAGGGGTTAGTTGGAACAATTGAAAATGTTTGGGACTTTTCTGAAGCACCCCAATCTTATTATAGGGGGGTTAAGTGACATTTTTACTTTAGGGTGGGTTTATCTCAAAATCGGCCGAAGTCAAAGGGGGTTTTGTGAATATTAGCCTTTTCAAGGCTAATTCTCACCTTCGGGGAAGCCTCCTAATGACAGCTTCATCAAGATCAAAAGGCCTATTTGTTGCAGCAAGGACCAACACACGCTCTTTATCTTTTGTACGGAGGCCATCCCAGTTCACCATAAATTCATTTTTCATCTTGCGCATGGCTTCATGTTCTCCGGGATTTTCTCTTCTACCCAACATACTGTCAACCTGTAAAATGAAAAGCGCTGAATCAGCAGGGGTAACTAGGACATTATAAATAGCAGGAATTCCTTATAACTCCTAAAACTTTGATATTTCAGGTATAAAGATAAAGAGAGAAGTTGGGTTTTTCTTTTCTCTAAATGTAGCATGATATCTTTGACCAATTTACTCAAACTATAGTTTAAAAACTTCATTGGATTTTTTTTCAAACTCGTAGCTGCTCCTTAACTATCAGTCACATCTGGCCACCTATGATTCCAACATAAATCTCATACCTCCAAGGAAGGCAGTTATCCCAAATTTATTTAATTCATTCATTTTTTTAGGTTACAAGCACAAACGGTGTTTCTGCAAATCACTTTCCATTTCCTATATTTTTACAATTTGTCGTGTCCTGTATATTTGCCGAAGCTCCATAGGAAAGAAACACAGTTGTACAAATCAGACATGCTACTCTGACAAAAGTGAGACACAACATACAACATGAAAATGCTAGGTAAATATATCCAAAGAGTGTTGACTAAGTTGATTGACATGATGAAACCAAGAGATTGCACTAACCTCGTCTACAAAAATGACACTGGGGGCAATTTTACTCGCCAATGAGAAAACAGCTTTGACATATTTTTCCCCTTCACCAAACCACTGTAAAAACGAACACCTTGCATTATCAAATCTGATGAGACATAAGAAATGCTAAAATCAATTATTGATAAGAAGTAGCACCTTTGAAGTGATGCTCGACATTGATATATTGATGAAGTTTGCACCCGCCTCTGTTGCGACTGCTTTAGCAAGCATTGTTTTTCCCGTACCGGGAGGACCAAAAAGTAATATCCCTTTGCAAGGCTGTAGAGTAATATAAATAAAAGATAAGTTTCCGAAGAGAGAAAATATCACTGCAAAGTATCCTTTCCACACAGCATTACACTAAATGAGTTAATTATAAATATTACAGGAAGACAGTGATGATTTGACTTCATCCTTGAATTTATTTATGATCAAGAGCTACAGTGGGAGATCTGTAAACCTACCAGTTCCTTGGTTATTTTTCTCGTCAGGGCACCACTATCAGATATTTTATCCAATAAAGATATCCTCCAGCCTATTTTAAATTGATATCAGTGTGATGACCAATGATCAAAAAATCTATGGGAGGCTCATAACTTCTCCATGTTATAAGATATCCTTTGCGTGTGTGGTTCTCTCTTCGTGTCTGATTATGAATTGGCATTATTATGGTAAATTTGCAATAAAAGGGTAAACCTTCTTCCACATTTCAAATGTACTACATATATCATATAGTTTGTAAAATTTGTACTAATATGTACCAAATGCAGTAATAGTTAAGTCTTTACCTAGAGATGAAAAAATGTTTACACCAGCATGAACTGTCTGCAAAGTATCCTTTCCACACAGCATGGCACTAAATGAGTTAATTATAAATATTACGGGAAGACAGTGATGATTTGACTTCATCTTTGAATTTATTTATGATCAAGAGCTACAGTGGGAGATATGTTAACCTACCAATTCCTTGGTTGTTTTTCTCGTCAGGGCACCACTATCAGATATTTTATCCAATAAAGATATCTTCCAGCCTATTTTAAATTGATATCAGTGTGATGACCAATGATCAAAAAATCTATGGGAGGGTCATAACTTCTCCATGTTATAAGATATCCTTCACGTGTGTGGTTCTCTCTTGGTGTCTAATTATGAATTGGCATTATAATGGTAAATTTGCAATAAAAGGGTAAACCTTCTGCCACATTTCAAATGTACTACATATATCCAGTGTTTTAAATATCGGCCGCCATGTCCGGTAAACCTTCTGCCACATTTCAAATGTACTACATATATGATATATCATACAGTTTGTAAAATTTGTACTAATATGTACCAAATGCAGTAATAGATAAGTCTTTACCTAGAGATGAAAAAATGTTTAGACCAACATGAACTGTTGGAATCTTGGTGAGAGATTAATTAATCGCCACCACATTGTAGTTAAAGAACTTGAGGAACACAACACCCTTACTAAAAAAAAGGTGCCTTTATTATGCAGACTCGTCTTTCAAGTTGCTTGAGGGAATGCAGTAGTTTCATCATCATACTTAATAACCTAATTCTCACCATTTTTATGAGCATAATATCATGCAGTAGGTTCACACCTATAGTAATTGCCTAAATCTCACCATTTTTATGAGCATCAATCACTGTTATAAATAGCGGTAAATAGCCACGCAATAGCGGCGTTAATAGCGTTAGCGGTCCCTTCCCGCGACGCTATCCCCCGCTACGCTATCGCGCAATAACGGTGACATATTGCGGAATATGTCTGTTCGCAAAAACGGTTAATAGTGTGTCATAACGGTAAATAGTGAGCGATTGCATTCGAAATTTGCTTTTTGACTGCTATTTAAAAGCGGTTTAAGGCTTTTTTTTTTAAATTAAACTTAACCATTGACCATTGCATTCCACTGTCTCCTGTGATTTTTAGCATACTCCTGCCACCTCTCATAGCCTCTGGCACCTACCTTGATACTTCCTCTCACCTCCTTCACCGTGAGCTCCTCTTAGGGTAGTCTTGTCACCGCTAAGCTCTTTTTCTTGAAGACTTGACGATTTTTTGACTCCTCCAGTCATCTTCGGTATTACATGATTGTTACATGTTTATTTCATGTTTAGGATCTCTTTAAATCATCCAATATGTAATTTTAGATTTCTTAGATTTTTCTTTAATTTTTCTTTTTTTAGTATTTATACATATCTAAATTAGACCGCTATTTGACTTTGCGCTTTTTACCGTTATTTTACCGTAATAGCCCAAAATAGCTTTAGCGATGCCTCACCGCTACGCGACGCTATCCGCTATCGATAACCTTGGCATCAATATCACTCGAATTTACGAGCATAATAATTTCATAGTTATAGTTCATGGCCTAATTCTCGACATTTTTATGAGCATAATATCATGCAATAGTTTCCTAGTTATAGTTAATTGCCTAAATCTCACCATTTTTATAAGTATCAATGTCACTCAAATTTACGAGCTTCAATTTGTAAAGCCTACAGTGGAGGCCTCATCCCCGCATAGACAGCAAGTAATACAAACATCTAGAGAAGGGGGGGGGGGGGAGGGAGGAAGGGAGGGAGAGAGCATTAAAACCTTTGTCAGTTGTCCTTTACAAAATAACTCTGGTCTTTGCAGTGGAAGCATCACCAACTCCTTCAGCGTGTCCTTTACATTTTCTAAAGCCCCAATGTCATCAAATGTAACTCCAATCTCGTTAGATGCAATCACATCAACTAGAAGCCTCTTCTCAAACTCATTGTCGGTAACCACATCCTAGAAGAACCCCAAAGAAGGGGAAAAACAGAAGCTTCAACACAATTCAATTGTGAAAATTTCCAAATCTCAAAGAAAATAAATGGGGAAAAAAGAAAGCTCCAGGAATCATAATAGCTGTGATAGAAAGAGTAAATTAGAGGTCAAAATATGTCACCTTGAGGGATTTCTTTGAACTCTTGGTATCACTTTGGATGCTTTGGAGCATATCAAATCCATGCTTAACGCTGCCATAATTACCAAAAATAATGTCAGAACAAATGGAGAGAAAAACATAAGCTTTTCTTTCTAACTCAAGTCATAGAAATTTTTAACTGCACTCCAAATCGAACTGAATAACTCGTTAACATATTAGGAGGTACAGACACATTTATTTCAAGACAAAACAATTGGGACATTATAATGTTAAAACATGGCTACCTTTCACCAGATAATATAAGTTTAGAATCCTTGGACAATGCTTCAGACTTGTTGTGCTTAAGGTGATAACTTAAAGCAAAACCAATTATTTTATCAACAGCTGCAAGACAAATACAATAATGAAGATCGTACGACTGAGCTAAAGAAAAATAACACTTTACTTTGATTAGAAATATTACTCACTTTCATTAGTAAGTGTCTGATCTTTTATGCATATTGTTTCAAGATCAGTACATCCGAGTCCACTCCGGTCTAGAAACTGGAAAATAAAATTGAACTCATCAAAAGGCATTATACAAGAGAAAATATAGATCTAGTAAAAGAATCAAATATAAATCTGAAAATAGAATTAAACAACGAAGATTACAGATATTACACTCACTGCAGATATGATCTTAGTTTTAAACCATACCATATAGACAGGGAATACAATCATGCAGAAGTCTGAATCGAGGTTTAAAAAAGGGATACAAAGTTAAAGAAAATTATAGAAACTCAACCAAGCGAGCTTCATGTGTTTAAGCTATCCAACATAAAAAAATGTATATGGAAACTATTGGTCGCTTAAGACAACCACATTGTTTAGTGTGAACGATGTAATTGTACTGATATGGAAGGCATTTAAGAGCAATAAAAGCAGGGTTGTATTCTTCATAGGTAACATTGAAAATGAAATAGGTAATAGTAACAACCATAATGTGCAAGAGCCAGCTACTTCCGAGTTTAAAGAGGTGAATTTGAAAAATTCTCATCTTTGTGGGAATCACACCCACGCACTAGTGTCCAACAGAGAGCAAGGGCTTTCAACTACTCGTTTGTATGTATATATATGTATATATGTACACACACACACTTAAGTGAATAGGAGCACTTGTCCACCAAACTTTTTATCCCTTCATTATGCTCTGAGATTTGTGCTACACATCAATGCTATCTTTGAGATTTGTGCCTTCATTTGTATCACATGCTAACACAAATCTCAATGCAAAATCAATGATAAAAAAATTGGTGGACAAGAGCTTCTATCCACTTAAGTTTATAGAAGCTTTAATATATATATATATATATATATATATATATATATATATATATAGAGAGAGAGAGAGAGAGAGAGAGAGAGTGAAATGGGTATACTTGGTACCTATTTTACCCGGATACTTCATGATTGAAGCCGTACCCGTACTGGACACGTACCCGACACTTTCTCGTACCAAAGCTTCATGGACACTTCTTGAATATATGCATGCATTTATTACAACATGTACTCAATTAGACGATACATGTGTTAATTTAAAACACTTGCCAAAGACTTCCTGGACGTAGAGCTTACACTTCACATCCGTCTTTTGAAACTAATGGGATACGGGTCGGGTTCGTTTCAGTCCATACCCAAGTTTAAAACTATTAGTTAATGGGTCTTTTTGATGTCTAATAAAAAAATGAGTAGTTTACAATTCACGATAATCAATATGATAAAATAAACTCAAAAATGTAATCGAAATTTTAATTCTAATGACACATGAAGCGGAAAAAAATTATCTCATGTACATTATTAATTCAATAAATTCTAATGACACATGAAGCGGAAAAAAATTATCTCATGTACATTATTAATTCAATATATATATGTAGTTGTGTCCCCGTACCCAACATTATCTCATGTACATTATTAATTCAATATATATATGTAGTTGTGTCCCCGTACCCAACATTTTACAGTTTTGTCGTGTCCCCTACCCGTACCCACACCCGTACCAATACTCATGCCCGTTTCCATGCAACTTAGCTTGGAACCAAGCATAAAACGTTGTGTTTGGTAGTGATGTGTCACATCCCCTCCACTCATTCAAATGGTTCATATCCTCATGCACTCCTCAACCCATGTGAATGTGGTCCCCCATTTAAATGAGTAGAGGGGAATGTGCCACATCACTACCAAACACAAAATTTGTGCTTGGTACCAAGCATACCCATTTTTCCCTTTTTATATATCAGTAGACCTGAATTACACTCCATAAATTAGTTGGTCAAACCTGGTTACAGTCCAAGAATTCAAATAGGAAGCTTATGTAACACTATAATAGACCTTCCTGTTATGATAATTACCTTTACATTGCAAAGCTACTTTTAGACAACAATGAAAAATTTTTAGTACAAAATACAGGCACTCATGCTTCAGTTGATGATCAAACCGAGATTAGGAATCGAGGTCCAGAAAACCACATCACAAACACCAACATGAACATGGCCACAGCAACGAATGTGAAGACATGCAAAACTTAAATATATATACAAAAAAATTAGGATAAGTCATGATATAACCTCGAGATTCATACAACAAAACTGCAAGAATAGAATTTCATATAAACTATGGAACCCAAGCATTTCAATGATGAAAACAAAGTACCATCCAAGGGTGAGCTGATACATATAAGATAAATGACCCAGTGTTAGCAGGACACAAAATAAACAACTATTAACTTTTAATCAGAAGATATTATTTCCAAAGTTGCAATTGACTTGATTAATTTGAAAAGCCTGACACCTCTTCTTTTTGCTTTCTATATATATATACATATATATAAAGGCATGTACAAAAAGGATTCCATGAGGAGCATGAAACATGCATAAGCAAGATAGCCAAAATACCAGTTCAAAGGACAAGCCTCTTTGCTGGTAAACAAAATTGAACTGACATACCAGTTCAAGAAAAACATTAAATAAATTGGGGGGTTCTAAGGTGCACATGACCCATAGCTTCAAATCTAACAAGCTTCTGAATAGCACTAGGCAGCTCCGAACTATGATAGAAGAACTTCAGCTCCTGAAAATGATTAGCAAAAACAACATTTTTGCTAAATAATTAGCAAAATTGACCTGGGCTAGCCAAAAAGAGGTCAATATTTCAAGATGTGGTCTTAAAAACACACGGGACTACTAGTCTCATGTGTTTAGCGCTGGCTAATCAGCCAGTAAATACACCACAGAGATCTCACGGGACTAGTAGTCTGTTAAGTTTTCTGTACAGTAGTAGAAAACAAACGGGACTACTAGTCCCATGGATTTTCTGATCAGTCTCATAAAACACACTAGACTAGTAGTCCCGTGTGTTTTACAAAGAGCCCCAAACGTGCATGAAACATGTACGCTTCTATTCCGACTTATATCCTGCGTATATACAATATTTCGACTTATATCTGCGTATATACAATATTTCATGTGCAAAAAAAAATTTAAATTCACGTCATATACATATCTAAACAGTATAATCCTTATATAACTTTTAAACAGTATAATCCTTATATAACTTATAAAATTTAAGAAATATGTTTATTTCTTAAAATTTACATTTTTCTTAAAATTTAAAAGTTATATAAGGATTATACTGTTTAGATATGTATATGAGGTGAATTTAAATTTTTTGTGCACATGAAATATTGTATATACGCAGGATATAAGTCGGAATAGAAGCGTACATGTTTCGTGCACGTTTGGGGCTCTCGGTAAAACACAAAGGGACTACTAGTCCCGTGGGTTTTCTAAATAGTGTCTGAAAACTCACAAGACTAAGTCCCGTGAGATTTTTGCTTTTTGTGGTGTATTTACTGGCTGATTAGCTAGCGCTAATACACGGGACTAGTAGTCCTGTATGTTTTCAAGACCACATTTTGAAAAATCTACATTTTTTGCCTGCTCATTAAGATGTCGATTTTGCTAATTATTAAGCAAATAGAATGTCTTTGCTAATTAATTTTTAACAAACAGTTTTTTTCTACAAATTCTCCTTTTCATTTTAAAATTCTTTACTAATTTTGACAGACTTCAAAAGAGTCCCATATCGATTAATAACCAAATATTAAAATTGCACATTCATACACCATAATCATAAACAAATAATTTATGATAATAAATATTTCAAAATTAAAATTTTATGAAAAATGAAAGTACCTCTTTGACCAAATAAAACTATCTTCTAATTAAACTATATATTACTAATCAAATAAATATACTTTAATATTTATTTGATAAATATTAAAGTATATACTCATAAACTATATATTACTAATATATAGTTTATCATAATGAAAGTACCTCTTTAATATTCCTAAACTATATATTACTAATCAAATAAATATACTTTAATATTGATAAATATTTGTGAGTATTCAAAACAAATCATGTTCGAATTCGAGTTCGAAGAAGAATATTCAAATTCGGATTCAAATTCAAAGATTTTGAACAAATACAAATATGAACAATTCAATATCCAACTTGATGTAATGGTGATGAGGATAAGTTAACCATATAAAAAGGTTAACATGGAGACCGCACGATCCATGTGGCATATGTTAGCAATTAAATTCACTCTCAATTCTTCTCTAGTCATTCACTAATCCTAATTAAATTCTAAATCAAACCAAACCCAAATCCATCAACGTATCCTTCACTAACCATCATCACGTCCCTTATTAACATCACCATCTCATCCCCATCATCACGTCCCTTATTAACATCACCATCTCATCCCCAGCCCCCACCCCCAAAACACACGCACACCACAAAATCAACATGACCTCGAGCATTATCAGCACAGAACCTGTCTTAACCAGAAAAAAATATATCTCAGAACATTCACCTGATTTCTCATGCATGGAAAATCCCCCTCCATTAACTAAAAAATCCTCTTCCAACACTTTCATCGATGATAGTAGGAATCCAACTAGAAATCATTTAAATTGGGAGAGCAATATCTTGACCATCTCAAGTGCATGATTTGGATATTGAACTCGAATTATAAGAACTCACTGTTATATACAACTTAAATAACTTAAATCTAACAAAAAGTAATACAATACTCCCTTGCCCTAACATGTTTCCCCATCGTAAAATGTGTAGACAACATCCATAGTTTTCCTTGATTCTTTTTTTCTGCTCATATCTGATCTGCGCCCATTCCTCTCATCTTGACCTGTACTGTTCGGATTTGTTGGATATGGATAATAATTTAATTTCCAAATGATGTGTACCAATATAAGTGATGAAAAATGAAGATGCATATGGTAAATCCTTATATCGAGTCATCCCTGATCTGAATGCACCCCCACCCCTAAATTCACCACCCTAGCTCGAAAACCTCAAGGAAGAAGTTGCACCTAAAGCTGATTAGTGAGACAATTTGAGATCAATTGCAAGCTCAATGGGAAGCAGATCATGTGACCTCCACATGACCTATTTGGGTGGAATACTAAACCTCATCACCCGCAAGGGTTAAAAGGTGATAACATTCCTGAGGGGTGTTATCTCAAAAGTGTAGGGATATTCCAGGCAATATGCATTATAATATATGCACTTGATGTCTGATTATGCACCTGCTGTCAAACTCAGAGTTCAAATAATTTGCATTGGAAGTACATTTAATTATGTATTTATGTGTTTGAATATTCTCGTCTACATATGCACATGCAAAAACTTAGAACAATTGCATCGTTCATCCATCCACAGATCCCTCTTATCGTCAAAAACAAAATATGACAGAATAAACAATAGTAACATGCTACATCTGCATGGAGAAAGTTTTCCAAATGGAAATTAGATGGCTGCCTCAAAATAACATTGATGACTAACTACTGGAAGATGCGTTGAAAAAACCACAAACCTACAGGAGTACATACACATGAAACTACCAGCATAGGCAACTCCCTCGAATGTGGAATCAAATGAGGACAGAAATGAACTAAATCCGGGAAATTGAGCATATGCATTCAGATGAACAGAAAATGCTTTTCAAATACCACAGATGATCACAACTTACAGATTGAATGCTCAAAGTATTGGCTTTGGCTTTAAGAGTTTCAACATCGCGGTCCAAAAGATTTTTCCAATCTTCAAGTTGGGTTTCATCCTGAAACATCCAATGATTATTTAAATGTTCTGCATAAGAATTTATAATAATAACCAAAAATATGTACCTGTGGTAACTGGATTGTCACTTTATTCGGGAAAAGCTTGCTTAGATGTTTCATTGTCTTGGGAATTTCCTTGCCTTTGTCATGCAGCCTACTCAAATTATCCTGTCAATCAAGGGTATGTGTTGCTTTTGAATAAGTAAATGAGAAAGAAATGAATATTACTCAAATTATCCTGTCAATCAAGGGTATGTGTTGCTTTTGAATAAGTAAATGAGAAAGAAATGAATATAGCAGTTGTGATGGATGCCAATACTATGTACAGAGAAAACTTAACTCTATGTACGCGATGAGCTACAAATAATATTGTTTCAAACAGTTAGCCAATTCAAAACACATAATAACATTAGTACCAGCTATAAAGAAGCTCGAAGAAAGTCAAAATCATTGATAAAAAAACATGTTTTTAAAGTCAAAATAATTTATGAAAAAAAATGCTTCGTAACACATTATACACATTACGAAACGTAATGACAGCTTCAAGTTACGAAATAGGAGCGCATTATGGTGAAGTAGTCCATCCTGAAATGAAACACATGTTGTACTAAAGAATGAGGTAGAGGAAATATATGCAATCAAGGCAACCCAAAAGACGACTTGCAAAAAACATGGGCACACTCTTATGTCAGAGAGATAGTTAGTTCGCCAAGTGAGAAAGTGTAGATGGAATTTATGATTGAATACATTGTCGTTGCATCATGAGTACATGGTAATCCATCATGATTGCTATTAGCCAGATTTTATTTCTTGTTGGCAATTAAAGTTTTTTCTTTCAAGGCATTGACTGACAGTTACAGAGTTTAAAGCTTAAGGATATTATGGTAAAGTAGCAGAGTCGATGAATTTCTCGTTCAGGTATTGACCAAATGTCACACATCTTCACCATAAGTTCTTATGAATTCCTTAGGCTCTGCCAAGGGAACTGCAGACTCAAACTAATGTACGTGTAATGTCCAACATACTCTCTTCCTACTATGGGATGCACAAAAGAAACAAGATCAACAAATTCAAAGAACCACGGAAATCTTTAGAGCACAGACTATGAAGTATACAAGATATATATGTGGGAGTAAGAAATAATAAGGAGTACCAACCGGGAAAGCAAAGTCAAGTAGTGCTGTTTGACTGCTTCCAAATTTTGTAAATAGAAGACCACCAGGATGCGCCTGCAAAGCACGACATTCATGTAAAACTTATTATGAAAAGTTACCAAACAGACATCAAATAAGAAGAAAATTGTTCAACTAAATTATAAGATCATACTAATTTGTCACCTTTTCTTTGCGGGTATCGCCCTGAGTATGAGAGGCGATGACGAGAGTACCAGCAGGCAATGAATCAAGCTTTCCTTTTAACATTAAGTATGACTCTGTACTTCCAACCATAGATTTCTCTATGTCTTTGAGAAATACTATCAGAGGACCAGATTTACTTTCTTCAGAAACAACCTGGAAATGTTACAATCAGTAACAGAGCCAGGAAACATTGTGAAACAAACATACAAAGAAATGAAAAACCCACCTCTGTCAGCTCATTAATAGCGAATCTTTCAGAATCCTCGTAAGGATAGTCAGGTCGAAGCAAATCAGCTGAATCAGATGCCAAATAAAAAAATATAAGTCGTATTTTATAACATGAAAATTGAAGGAAAAAGTAAATTAGGGCTATAGCTTTTCTTTTTCACACCAAAAGCTTCCTATGGACAGGAAAAACAAGTGCGCAAGAGAGTCACCTGAGCAAAAGAAACCATGATCTTCTTCGCACAATCCACCAAGGTCATTGCCGTCAGGAATTTGTTTATCAAATCTGACTCCAACCTTTGAGAAACCATTTTCTTCAAATGCAAGGAGAACTTTTCCTCGGTAGCCATAACTTGGACCTCTGTATTTTGTTGAAGTACGGAATATATAAATAAAGCTAAAGTTTAAAAAAAATCATACAAAGCAATTCACACTGAAGATTAAATGTAATGCATGATACTTTCCGTATCTCCTTAAAAATTATCCGTTATGAGAATCAAATTCCAGGTTTCAAAGAGAAAGAGTTCCTTGGCAGATAGACAAGATAAATGAGGGGCTAGTTAACTTTTAGAAGTTTCTTTTTTGTTGAAATACATGGATCTCTAAAACACATAACTGAAAAACTTCTAAAGGTGACTTATGGCAAAGCCTTTGTCCCAATTTTTTAGGATGAATGAATGAATTCTCTTCTTCCATATAGTTTTATTTAGGACTATCTCCTTCCTTAACTATTATTATATCCTCTAGATTGCTTCCGACCAAATCTTTTAAAGCCTATCTCTAGTTCTCTTTGCCAACATTAACTACAACCTATCGCTTCTCCTAACCGGTTCAGTTAGTAGCCTCCGTTGCACAATACCAAATCATCTCCATCAATTTTCATGTTATCCCCAATAAGAGGAACCCTTGGCCTCTTACAGATGCACTCATTTCTTGTTCTATCACTTAATTGTACATCAACAAGTACGTAGTAACATTATCATGTAAGTTACATTCATTTATTGTACATTTTCTTAATTGCCCAAAATTCTGATCCATAAAGCATTGTTGGTCATGTAGTAATCCTATAGAAAATGTCCTCCAATTTCACAAGCAAAGGATTTTTTTTTTGCCAGCCTATGAAGCACGGACACGCATAACATGAAGCCGTGTCGTGTCGTGTCCGTGTCGGACACACGTGTCGAACACACGTATCATATGTATTTTTTAGGATTTGCCTCGTGTCGGCGTGTCGGATGGCCGTGTCGAATCCGTGTCCGTGCTACATAGTTGCCAGCTACATGAGACATTAACAGTATCCCATCTCAACTATGAGTATCCACAAGTTTGACAATATTGATTCTGAGTGGAGAAACTAATTGGTTAAAAGTATTTCATGGCCATTCATGATCATTGCAAACTTTATATGCTCATTTTTCTAATCTACTTTCCTTTATAACTAAAGGAAAACCTTAAAGTGAACAGTAAACATTCTCATTATCCACATATTTATCTCCAATTAAACAATTCCCCCACGTTCTCTCTCCACGTTTCTCCATTCGTATTTGGGAAAAACCACCCCAACCCACGTTCTCTCCCCCCCCCACATTGATCTGCGAGTCCGCGCTCTCTCAGTTCCCTTCTCTCCCCTCAAACCCCAACGTCGACGACTCCAAAGCAACTGCACTGTTTAGAAAAAAACAAATATATTTTTCCTCACAAATCAAAGAAAAGCTTTCTCTTCTGTACAATTATTATAAAACCCTTCATGAAACAAAATCCCCAATTTCTACAATTAGACCTTTCTACTCTTCTTCGATCAAATCCAGTTTGATTCCTTCACTTTCTTTCTCTTTCTCCCTCTCCGTTGATGTCTTTTCGTCTGATTCTTTCTCTACTATTCTTCTCCTTTCTCCTTCGGAGCCTCGAAGCTCGATCCATCGGTGAAGTCCACGATTTCGCTGTCGATCTCAATAGCTCCACTTTTGCGAGTGTTCTAAAAGAATCCAAGGCCAATTTTGCGATCGTCGAGTTCTTTGCGCACTGGTAACGATTTGATTGAATTTTTTTTGTTTGTGTTTGTTCAGTTGATCTATGAAATATCGATCCTAATATATCGATCCTAATATATGTGAGATGTTCAAGCTTTTAGGCGCATTGGTTCTTTTTTTGCTTTTAGCTACCTTTTTACTGAAATTTTGTATTTTGTTTCGAATTTAGTTTTTTTTTCTTTAATTTTGCAGTGGAGTTAGCTGTTAAAGTTGATGGTAAAGGAGGAAATGATCAAAAGGCAATGACTCCGCGGTCGAAGCATTATGCTACAGAGCAGAGGCGGGGAAGCAAAATCAATGATAGGCAAGTTTTCTTTTTCCACCAATTTTGGGGTTTAAAGCAATATATATTGTTACAATACAAACTTTTTTACTTGAAATTTAACTGATAAAATGAAATGTCTGGGCTTTTTGTCTTTTTCTGACCGGAGATTGGCTACGGTGTCACATGCCGTGTGGGGGTCGAACGGTTGAGGAAGCACGAGCGTGGAGTAGTACGGCGTTGCTTTATCAGTATGATTGTTGGTCGACGCTTAAGTATATGTTAATGGTATTCAACAGGTAATTTGTTTTCTAATTGTCAATTTTAATATCTTTTTTTAAGGAATTGGTGAACTTTGTAGAGAGGCGCTTGAAAGTTGGTCCTTTCTCAGTTTACTATTTAGATTGTGAACCATGTGATCCTCCCACGAACCATGTAAAATAATCATGTAAAATAATAAGTCTTTTATTTTTTTTCTTCATTTGGGACATAGATCTTTTTGTTTTTGCGCCTTTTCTGATGTTTAGTATGCTATCATAATTGCCATCATATTATAGAGAACCATGATTCATCTAGAGTATCAAAAAATAGGTAAGTTTTGGGGGATTAATATTGAAAAACCAATGTCAATAATGGATCTTTATTGAAATATCCAAAAATGTAACTCTAAAGCTACGAAATAAATCAGTTTCTTTCCTAGCTCAAATTTTTTGTGGTGGTTTCCTAACTCAAGGTTTAATGGACGAAACTTTTTATTTATTGCATAATCCTACTACTAAATTAGAAAGTTTTCATTTAATTCTCAAATTTTCATATGAAATCTTCTGATTAAATTTCTAAATTTTCATCTTTTTTCCTCAAATTTGTAAAGAAATTTCTCATTTTTATCCTTAAATTTTGATCTATAATATTTACTGTAGTGGTAGTCAAAGTTTGTAAAGAAATTTCTCATTTTTATCCTTAAATTTTGATCTATAATATTTACTGTAGTGGTAGTCAAAGTTCACCTTAGACTGAATATTTAAAATCCTTAAATTTTGATCTATAATATTTACTGTAGTGGTAGTCAAAGTTCACCTTAGACTGAATATTTAAAAGTGGTATAAACTACATTATATTATAGATGATATGAATTGCCATAAATGTTGAATTGGAATCTTCCTGATTGTTATTTATATCATTCATAGATATTGAGATAAGCTATTATTTTGTCAATAGATGCTTGGATAATCACTATCTATTTTTTGTTCTTACTATTGTTCAGAAAGCTTGAACTGAGTTATTGTTGGCTATTGATATGCTTATATGTTCTTATATATACATACATACATTCACATACACTTAGAACTCAATTTCATGATAATGGAGAGCAATGATGACGACCATAATCTTAATTGTCCAGAAGTTATAAACGATGCAACGTTAGGTGTATGCAATAATTGAACATAATATTAGCATAATTGCACATAATATCTAACATATTCTTTACATAATTAAATTAACTATTTGCATATGAAACCATGTTTATAAAGTATAAAATAATTTTAAGATAAATTTCACGTGACAAACCACAAAAAGGTTTTGGTAAAAATTGCGCACAATAATAATCTGTAAGGATGTCGTGCTTTGCACAGGATGAATATTAGTATTTATAAAACCAGCTGATATAGATTTGATATGAAACCTATCTCCCATGTTCAATCCTTCAATCTCATTGACTACTAAAAGATAAAGGCAAGAACGTATCTAGATGTGCTCTGACTCATCCATATAGTCATGTGCAATATGGGGTAAAAACCTAGACCCACACTTATAACACTGAAAGAATTAAGTAGTAATTGTTCTAAAACCTTGCAATATCACTCTCGTCTCAAGAAAGCAACATAACAAGCAGTCAAGCAACAATGCCTAAAAAAGCAACACAACAAGCAACAATGCTTTAGCAGAGTGTTGTATATAGAATTTATGGTGTCCTTAAGCAGCCTCTAGAACGTAGACTCCTAAACATCTGAGCTTCCTACGAGATAACTTGGGCTTTTTTCCTAAAAGGGAATCTCCCTTCAAGAAGAGAAAAAGAACGATAATACTTCCTTAGAAATAGAAAGGGATAGGAAAGAAAAGATAGCAAAGAGAGGCGAAAAGAGATTTGAAGCAGAGAGGACCAGTTTATACTCGTATACTCTTGGGAGTTCTGAAAGTTAGTTTAGCCTCATATACTTATCGGAGGTCGCCGGGTTATCCTTAAGAATATTGTATACGATATTCTCCAGGAACTTCCCGTCGAGGGTGGGAAACAGTTTAAACTTGTATACCCATTGGAGTTTTAAGAAGCAGTTTATACTCGTATACTTTTCGGAGTATTGATTCTTTCATTGCAACGCATTGATCGGCTTTGACCTAGGGTTACGCGTTGACCGGCGTTGACCTTAGGGTTTCGAATGTTATTCGATGTTCAAGTCACGAGACCAACTAATGAAGCTGATGCGTCAGTGACTATCATATTTATAGGATTTTGGGCAAACCCTCAGCCATCAACGGGTTTGATGAGCCTTTACCGACCACCGTTTGAGTCGGGCTAGCATGCGGATTGTCTAAATCCGTTCCGCATGTGACGTTGTGCTAAAGGAATGAACTCCCTTAGACTTGATGCTACAACTTCGAATATGTAGACTTCGCCATTGTTATGGGAATAGGCTACCCAGCAACGTGTTTTAGACGCTGACTTATCCCTACTTAGGCTTCAGGATAGAATACCCCAGAATCGAACTCTGGTGTCTTTTTCCACGGAGAAAGCATGCGAATTGTTTTGAGTCCGTTCCGCATGTGACGTTGTGCTAAAGGAATGAACTCCCTTAGACTTGATGCTACAACTTCGAATATGTAGACTTCGCCATTGTTATGGGAATAGGCTACCTAGCAACGTGTTTTAGACGCTGACTTATCCCTACTTAGGCTTCGGGATAAAATTCCCCAGAATCGAACTCTGGTGTCTTTTTCTTCGGAGAAAGACTAAACCGGCGACGCGTGTTAGGCGTCGGCATATCCTTTCTTAGGATTCAGGATGAAATTCCCCATGTGTGTAAGGCATGGATTCTGGTGATATTAATAAAAACCTGTCACAATGTTGAATATGTGAACGGGTGTTCTTTTTAACGGTTAAGAACTAACCGGCGGCGCGAGAAGAGAGTGAATAAATAAAAGTAAAAGAAAAGGAGACAGAGATATTAAAAAGGAAACAAAATAATAAATAAATCAAATAAAGGAAGAAAATAGATGAGGTAGAGAGGCTGAGAAAAATGAAAAATATATATCATAAGAAGAGAGAAAGGGGACAATGAGAAAGTGTCAACCATCATATGGTGAGCTTAATGTAACATAGGCCAACATAAGGTATACAATCAGAAGGCATCCCTGCAGGAAATAAACCGTCCCTTTGCCCCTTCCATCACCAACGCATTTTTCCTTGTGGGTATTTGTATGACTAGTTATGTCAAATAGGCATTCATTTGTTATGTTTTCTATAATAAAGTCTTACTGCATAAGAGATACCCATTTATCCATTTACTCAGTATCCTAGAATCTTATCTGATCTCTAGAAAATCCTTCGCAGATTCTTCTGACAGGAACAGATAAAATCCATCCAATTTTCTACAAAGAGCCCAAGAAAGCACGAGGGCGAATTGTGCATTACCTCTCCTTTGACTTATTTAGGTAGTGCATCCAGCCAGAGGATTTATTGTGTTTGAACCGAGCCAGAGAGTGCCTGCAAAAGTTAGGAAGGTAAAGTGGGTCAAGTCCACTTAATATCGCCGGATACATTTCAATATCTAGCTGCCCTTTTTATTCTTTATTTCATATTTCCTACACCCTTAACAACAGCAACAAGCAGCTGAACAATGGAAGAATACCTCTGTTTTTATCACGTTATACCACATAACTCTATTACAAATTATAGATACTGATTGACTATTAACATTTTTTCAATGCATGTGTTATGCAGAAAATTTGATACTATCATACAGCTTTCTTAAGTAAATTGGACAAGTTAGGGAAATATTTATATTAAATATGGTCACTTGAAGAGATTAAAAAGACAAGATATTTCTCAACAAGAAATTACAAGTAGATCCATGGAGCTCAGATTATGAAGACCTAAAAGGGAAATCAACTTAAAAAACTGTATTATGCATGCATGCGCATCCAATCCAATGTCATCCAATTATTATACCATTTTTTACAATTTTTAATTAACTTTTAAGTCACTGTTGAAACTGCAAGATGGCCAAAACACAACTGTTATCAGAAGTTGGGAGATGAAACCAATACTAGCAGTATTTCAAACTCAAATTATGAAGACATAAGAAGGAAAGCAAGTCACAAAATTGTATTATAAATGTTTATGCATCCAAATTTTATTCAAGATTCAATCAAGTCCAATCTAAAATCACTAATTGCTCAGGAAAAAGACATGCAAAACGTTCTTTTTTTTAATACTTTGTGAGTTACTTTAAAAAATGGTAAGCCTCTACTAGCACATAAAGACAGTCGACTCGAAACAACTAATGTTCTTGCCAAAAGCTGGGAGAAGAAACCAATACTCATACCAAATAATTAACAAATATTTCGTTAATTGTTTGAGTAACTATTCAGTTATATGCAATTCAATAGTTCATTTAACATTAAACAAATAATTTTTAGTATTCAAATTCATTAATGAACTTAACCAGATATATATTCCATTCGTTTGCTTACTAAATACTCAATTAAATTTTGATTACTTATAATTACGCATATGATGTTATATTTCCTGTTGGCAAATAGTCTTGTATTTCTGGAAATCATAGTTGGGCTTGGAATTGGGATTGAATTCGATTGGAAAGAATCAATTACAATTGGAATTGAATTCTAACTGGAAGAGAATTAGGATTGTTAGTCCAAATCAAAGGAGCCCAACATGAATTCATGAATTCAAGAGACGGGATTTTTAATTCTCCTTAAGTGATTCATTGTAAATCAAGCCATATGAACTTATGAAGGTCAAAAAGAGTTCCATATTGTAAGAGAGAAGTAGAAAGAACTAAGGGGAGAAATCTAGTGTTTGTGAGAGATCTTTGGTGAGATTGAGAGAGCATTTCTTATGGGATCTATATTAGATAACAAAAATAGATTATCTTGTACTCTCTAGCAGCGTTATTGAGGCACATGCCAGCGGCGTAGGGCGCTTCGGCGCGAGGAAATCACGCCACGTGCCCACCCACTACAGAGCGATGCACTTAGCCAAGTGTCGCGGGGGTGATGCATTTAGCTAGGTGCGCTCAACGAGTGCCTTGTGTGCTCTCTTAGCGCATTGCATGTGGCGCACAGAAGCGTGCGCCCCATTTATTCTACCCATTCTTTAAATTTCAGCGGGTTTTGGGTATGATACCCATTATTTTCTTAAACCCGTTTTTAAAACTAAACCCAAACCCAAAGCATCTATATGTGGGATATATGATCATCAATAATCTGTGGATTGAGAATCTTAAAAGAGCCACCATATAGACACTGGACTTATCTATGAATTGAGAATCTTAAAAGAGCCACCATTCTTCTACAAATCGATGTGGTTTAAAGGTCTGTCTGTCATTATCAAGACTGTCATCTTCCTATCTCCAATAATTTGGCACATCTACAATTTAATATTACAACTACCTTACATGAACGAAACGGTTTTGAATATTTTCCAAGCTTACAAATTTGGAAGATTTCTACAATCACTGGTATCCATACTTATAAAAGATTTGATGAAAGAAAGCTACGACTTAGGGTTGGATCGCTTTCAAAGCACCATCTGGTTCTATAAGAAACTTGAGTATTTATTTGAAGATTATTCCTATTATATGACCGATGGACTTCGAATTATTTGCACTAACATTAATATGGACGAAACTTCTCACCACAAAGCAACCAAACAGTCATTGATCAATGGATGACTAATCCACCAATTGACCCAGAAACAAGATAAGCTTATGATATTTTCATAGCAGCAAAACAATAAAAAGAGAGTGACTTCAGTCAAGAAGAAGAATTCTTCTTCTAATGATATATCTATCGACAATGATCTAGCAGAGGAAATATCCATTACATGGGACAATTTGTGATATGCCATTAACTTATGGTAAATCTCACATATGATTAATCTCAATGACTTAAACATCAAATCAATCAACGCTTATCAATATTTTTTAATTTAAAACAAGTAATTTTTATGATAATTTTATTCACAGCTAAAAGAAGCAACTGCAGAGGACATAACAGACATGTTTATACACAATATGCTACTTTGGATTCCCATCTTTGGATACTTAAGCATGAAGAAAACTTTTGTCAAAAGGCTACTCTACAACCTAACCTCTAATAGCTTTTGACCAACTTACTCGTGTGGGACCCATAGATTATGAAAGCATTTTAGCATAGTTTCTCTAAAACCTCTATAAAAGGGGGGAGTGCTCAGGAAGTAAGGGGAGGCTTTTTGGAGGGTGAAGTGAGATCCTCTTTAGAATTCCCTCTTGTTCTCTCTTTTAAGTTTTTTTGTTTTTCGTTTGAGTTTGAGTGAGGTTTGCTTTCAAGTTTTCTTTTGAGTGTTTGTAAGATAAAGAGTGTACTAGTACTACTACTCCGGTGCTGAGCAGTTCATCACCGAGCTTCTAGTTTGTAAGTTTACTTTCCGTCAAGTATGTAAGTGTCTCTTGTTAATACTACTACTTAGTTTGCTTCCACCTTTACTGTTCTTTACTGTTTTACTGTTTGTTCTTTTCTTTTAGATATACATGTGAACGAAGAAGAAGATATAGTTATAAATAGTATCTATATCCTCTTTTCCGTCTACACAGTATTCCCCACGAGCTAGCTCTGTCGTATCAAGGCTAAAACAGTCATATATATATACATACATATACATATACATATATATAAATACACATACATATATATATACATCTATATAAATACACATACATATATATGTGTATGTATATTATATACATACACATATATATGTATGTGTATTTATATAGATGTATATATATATGTATGTGTATTTATATAGATGTATATGTATATGTATGTATGTGTGTGTATCGGCATTCATGAGGGCAAATTATGAGCAGACAGTGAGTCCATGGTTTGGAATTGCGAGAGAGAGGATGTAACATAGGAATTAATGGGTCATGGATATCTAGATAAAGAGACATCAGCAATCTGGGTCATAAGTACTAGAGAAACTGATGGGTGAGCAAAGTTGAATATGTGGGCTACAACCATGGTCCAACGAAGAAAAAGAAAAAATTTCATTAGACTGTAAAGTAGTAACCAAAGACCTGAAGACATCTAGATAAAAAGACATCAGTAATCATAAGTAACCGGAAATGTGGTTGGATGAACAGAATTAAGTCCGGATGCAAGCTGCAGTCATTGTTCAAAAGAAGAGAAAAAAAAGAGGAAAAACTATGGGTGAATGTATCTCTGCAGAGACGTTAAGAGCAGCCAAAAGCACTCAATCTATAGGGTTATTTCTTAAGGAATTTGCAATTGTAAGCCTCCACAAATCACTTCTGCTACTGCAATTGAGGAAATTTGAACCCATAAGCTCCTCCCAAGGATAGGAATGCAAACTACTCGAGCTAACACTACGAGGGTAGGGGAGAGAAATCTCTATGCATCATCATAGAAGAAGACAAAATGATGTTTCATGCCTAGCTAAAGAGCAAAGAATGATAGGATCATTTTCCCAAGAGACATAACTTCATGTTTCAGCATATATCCAAGTGATTTAAAAAAGCAATAACATCTAGAAGATAGTAGCATATAACCAAGTTTGTATAAACTCATACCAACAGAAACGTTAAAGAATTGTAGCTTCTATGAAAACGTATTTGAAAAGCTTTTTCTGATACGGATATCAACCTTACTTCATATATTGCACCTTAAAAAAGACTCATTTTTCTTCTCAAGGCAGTAAAAGCATTTTGATGTTAATTATTCAAGCCAAGAAGACTTCAAGAATTTAACTAGAATGCTAGAGAATCATATATTATACTGGTTATGTTTCAACCCAAGATACCTTGTATAGGATTCCTCAATGCTTGCAATATTAGTCCTTAAGTAGAGTCAACCAATAAATAGGAATCAACATTAAGAGGTACAAAGACGAATGTTTTCAAAATTAATCTTCCATCACATACCTCTGAGTCTGAACTGGAAATCCCGTTGACTGAAATGAACCGACATATCTTACCCTATCACCTAAATACAGCAATTCAAATGTTCAATAACTAAAAATGCAGTCAACAATTAACATAGAAAATAAACAAAAAGAATTAAATACTCTTTTCTAACTAAGTATAATAAAATGAGAAGCATCATGCCTTCTTTAAACGCGTAAGGTTTTGATGATGCTGTTGATGCCTCCTGCTTTGGTAACGACTGTGAGTTAGACGTGCCAACAATATCAGCCTCAACGCTAGAAGCAGGCCTCTTACGATGTGAATCAACCAATGCAATTTGTTGCTTAGAGAAGATGTGTGGTTTCTCTGGTTTTTCTGTCTTTGTGCCTTCTTTTAACAACTCTACCTCCTTCAATGATGTACCCTGGAACAATTTGCATCTCAGCAAGATATAACTTCAGATACCATCAAGTTCCCAATATTCAAAATGAATTCCCAGAAACAAGGATGAGTGTTGATGAGTAGAGAAGGATGTTATCACAAAGTTTTGAAGGTAGTTTTATAACAAAAAGCTATATACGGATGAATGAGAATGTTGATGAGTAGAGAAAGGATGTTATCACATAAAGTTCTGAAGGTTGTTTTATAACAAAGAGCTATACACATGTATCCCCAATAAAGAAATGACATTACTGCATGAGGAATTAATTGTTAGGAATTTCAGTAGGATCACTGCTTCAAGCCCAAGAAGATTCTTAAAAATTCAAAAGAAAAAAGTCAACAGGCTTGGCACATTTAGTAAATAAATGAAATTGCATAACAATTTTTGAAGCATTTTACATGCGGATGCCAACTAAAGATGCATTAAGGAAACTTACACCAGGTAGAAGAAGAGAATCGATCATCATCAATTTAGCACCAAACTGTTTAGCAAGTGCTTTTATCAGAGTTTCTTGATAGATTTCAGATCCTATCAAAGAAGAGGATTCATTCAATACACAAGAGTACATGACAAAGCAAAATATAAATAAAGGTTAATTTGAAAAATGAACCTCAAAGCGAATATACCTGTGGGACCAGATAAAAGTATGCGATGGCTTAAAGAAGAAATCTCTGGGGCAAACTTCATCTTGCATTCCAAATGTACATAAGCACATGACAAAAGGACATTCTTTGTAATCTCACTGAATAGGATGACAAAACACAGAAGCTTTAGTATATGGAAGCCTCAGGTCTAATAAATATGAAAAAAGATTTAATGTTTGCAAGAATGAGTATTCCAAGCCAAATTTGTTAAATATCCTAGCATAGGCAACAAGATTGCAGCAGAAATGCACGGTAATTAATCACCAGTCTCAAACCAAGTAAAGAAACAAAATGCAATAGAACCCCAAAAAAGGGATTTGAAATAGTATCTACAAGCACACTTCAATAGAAGGAATTTTCACATGCACCCACCCGCCATCCTTTTCCCCTCAGATGAAAAGTTCGGTGCATATTTGTCTAAATAATCAAAAATACCAGTTGCATACTTGAGGTCTAACTGAAATGTAAACACCTATCTATGAACTTTTTAAATTCTTAAGGGGTATTTAATTGCCACTCACCATCTTTTTTTCCTCAGAAGAAAGAGTTTTGACATATGTTTAAAAATTGAATATTTGCATACTCAGGTTCTGTTTCCTAACTGAAATTTAAACTCTTATCTATAAATCTATAAACTTTTAAAATTCTTAAGAGGCATTTAACTACATTTCCTGAAAGATCGACATTTATGACTTCTTCTTACTTGTTGATAAAAAAACTTACACACAGACAGAGAGTTGCGCTTTTTAGAATTAGAATAAATCTATCTATAACCTTTCAACCATATTAGACTTTGCATAACAAGATATCCAAAATCATTCTTCTTTTGTTGCTTAGCCTTTTTGTCCATAACTAAAGTCTACCTGTAAATGACTACCTATTTTCAATTAGAATTCATATCAAATTCAAATAAGAAAACAAGTTCCTATCTCAGTGCGATTTCTTCTTCTCTTCTTCTTCTTTTTCTTCTTCTTCTTTTGCCCCCTCTTCCAAACCAACTCGACTCTCATTTTAGCTTATCTTCTTGCACGGTTGCACCAAATACCATCAGCATAATCTTTTCCAGATAAATATTCTATACTAGATCAAAACATATGTCTAGAGTACTCGTAAGTTCATAACATTTAATAACTTCAATACATACGCATTTTACTAATTTCTTTAATTTTTTTTCCTACCTTCATGTGCAATTCACGCACCATTATGAGACCAAGGCAATTATATATGATAATATCACTATATGGTCGGCTATGCTAAAATATATGTTTCGATTCTTGATTTGATTAAGTAAAATTTGGTCATTATGGAAAACAAATGAAAGAAACTGAAGGTGTGGTTGGCAAACCAGGAACTGGACAAGACAAAACAAGTTAAAAGAACCTGAGAAATATCTAAATTACAGGAGCTTAGTTATTTTTCCCTGCATCTTATTTTCCCACGCCATTGTATAAGACAACAGTTGACATCATATAGTGAAACAACGTCAGCACTTTAACGCAGTACCTTTACAGATTAGTTTTTTGCATCTTTCAAGATCAATGAATAACTAGGTAAGAGGGGGGAAAGTTTACCAACCTTCTTTTTAAGATAAAATATCACTGAGTAACAGACCAAAACGATAAAGAGTTCTCATCAAATACAACGATGATTGAAGTCAAGATACCTGCTGAGCCATTATCCATTACATAATAGTACTAGAACTCATGGGTTGTAACAAGTGGGAAAAACATGAACTACTATCCGCAGTTCCGCACTTCCTACCATCTATCAAATGTCTTCATTCCATGTTTTAGCATCTTAAGGCTTATAAGCAATGATAAATAACAGCATTAGTCAAATCTAAACCTTAACGTTTGTTCATGACACATAATTTGAAACTATATTCACAGCCAGAACTATTTATTCTGCACCTCAAATTAGTACAGAAGACAAGATAAAATGTGTATGTTACTAAGGGTTTTTTTCATTAAAACCACCTTTAAAATTGGTCAAATCGATAAGAAATACCTTTAAAGTTTTTTTTAACAGAAACCACCTTGTAGATGAATTTTAGCTTTCAATTGACCGCTTTACAACAATTTCTACTCACATTTTACCCGAACTACCCAATATACCCCCACTGCATTTCCGCTCTCCTTAGTCCTCCCTTCTCTCTCATTATCCACCCCTCCTCCATCCTATCTCCCCCTTCTCCACCCATGCTCCTTTCTCCTCCATTATCCTCCTCACCTCCACTGCGTCTCTCCCTCCTCCATTCCACTTTGACTTTCCTCCCTCCTCTTCCACCCTTCCTCTCATTTTCGTCCCAC